CCCCCCCCCTTACTAATAAACACCTTCCTTTAGAAAGTGCATTTTGTGTTTACTTGTGTTAACAAACTGAAATATTTAAGTGTGATAAACATACAAAAAAAAAAAAGAAAATCGGGAAGTGGGCAAACACTTTTTCACACCACTGCAGGCATCACGGTCTAATGCAAAACGGAGCTCAGTTTATGCTCAGACTTGCAGTGTGCAATGAAGTGGTATAAGAATGCAGGATAACGTGGGTACCTGAAGAAATTACTAGACGTTAACTACATCATCCTTAGGTAAATCTGTAAAATCTCTAAAATTGCCTTCACAGCGCTCAACTTGCCATACAGGTTTGAATAATTTCATAACTATTTTACAACTGTCCCATGGCTTGAATTTAAACCCGTCTTCAGTCACTGACATCCCAAATCAAATCAAACGTGTTTTTTTTTCCAACTTTTTTCTTATTTTAATGCCTCTCCCACTATTCATTTATTATTCGAGGATAAATCAGTATTCAGAGTATTAAATCCTAGAAAATTAAAGTTAACCTCAAACCAAATAAAGAAAAAACAGCCATTTGTAAACTTCAGCATGATAATTTATTGCCAGCATTGAGTCAAGCCAGTGCATGTGTTCTCTTAAGCAAGCGGTGGATTTTCAAGCAATGTAACTGAAGTGGCACTTTAAACAAAATAAGTCAAGACAAGTTTTACTTAAGCACAGGGATGAGATGTGCCGTATGAGTCAACAATAACCTAAGAAAAACAAAAGAAAGCATCTCATCTGGCACTATTGTGCAAGCGCTATAAGTTGGATGTAGTTGTGTAGCATGACTGTGGTCACAAAACGAGTCTGCCTCTGAAGCACGAAAGGGCAACCAAAGCCTGCAAGTGTGAATTTGGGTTTAAGTTAAGTGATTGTGGGTTAAATGTCAATGTATGCTCGTGGAAGCTGTTGTGTGCGTGCGTGTGTGTGTTTACAGGCAGACCACTTTCAAGAAGTCCAGCGAGGTGTGGAAAACATGCTTTTTGAGGTGAGCATGAGACGGAAACTGAGACTGCTCGAAGAAAAACAAGTTAGAGCCAAGAACCCGAGAGCACCCTCCACCACAGTTTCATATGGCCTTTACAAAAAAAAATAAAAAATAAAAAATACAATCTTCCGTCTTGTTCACCAGTGTGGATGAATTCAGGCAGATTTGCACAAGTACAAAAAATTTGTTATTGAGCAACTGCGGCGGTTTTTGTACCTGTCATAACCTGTAACAGGAAACAGCATGTGTTCTAAACCTGAAGTCCTAAAATACTGAAAACATCAGTAACAGATAATAATCTGCTGCAGTGTTACACTGCCAGTGGGTGTTTACAAAAAAACAAAAACGGATGCGACTTGAAGCTCCATCTGCAGACAGTCTGCTTTAACATAACCTCCTTCCCACTTCCCTTTCAGGTTTCAGAGTCTGAGCTGTTGATCAGACGCTGAGGAATAAAAGAACTGTAGACACGTAACTCGTTACTCACTTCTCGTGCTTTTTGTTTTTTCCTTCAGCATTTTGTCAGAAGCTGTTTTCTGTAATTAGGGTAATAGTGGAAACCGGTGACATTCACTCGGTGTTTTTTTTTTAGATGTGTAGGCAGGTGTTGAAGGGTGAAAGGTTTGGATTTGCACTGTGTGGCTGAAAATAGCACTCTGATCGGTGTTTTCCATGTTTTCAAGTTAACGCTATCTCATTTGTGCATCAGCTGTGAACCCACAGATCCAGCCTCGATAACACTCACCTGGAACTCAAGTTCAGTAGCAGGATGTGGCTTTGGCCTAACACCAGAGGAGGCCCAGCCAGTTTTGTAAATGTCAACATAAATATGATCTTTTTAAAAAAAAATTCAATGTGTATAATCATAATTTTATACTCACTGTTATTAGTTTTCTTCTGATTCTGAATAAGAAAAACAATTTACTCATTATTAAGCAGCTACACATGCAGCAGTGTGGGTTTTACACTATCCTGATTGTGCTGATGCAGCATGTGCGCGTTCAATCGTATAACCAGGAAAGCTGGGGCAAAGTGTCTGCTGCAGATGCTCGACTCGATTCTGCTCGGCAGGAAAGCTGCAAAGCTTGTCACCGTGACATTTGATTCTTCTTTGTGTCGGTGTATACTGTGGTGGATGATGTTTTCTTAGTAATTAGCACACAGTGGCTGCCATATAATGTGACGCGTGTGATTTAACCGTAACACATCAGTGTTTACCAGTCGTTTTAGGTTATCATGGTGGAAAGTAATAAAGCACAATGCATTTTTAATGCTTTTTTAAAATATTTGAAATTTGTATTGAATTCACATGTGATACAACTGTTTATTAATTATTTTGTAATACATTTATTTCAATTTTGAATAAAAGAAAACAATTTAAGATGGAGACAGCAAAAAATATAGAAGAGGAAGAAGAAGATGCTGTGGTTTCAAAACCACATTCTGCAAGTGTTATAAAAGCAGCAGTCTATGTGCATTGTTATCATCCGGACCTGTCAGCCACGGAAAACACTGCATTATAAAGAACTACCTCATTTGTTCTCCTCAGCTCTGAAATGCTTACAGGGTGTTGTTAAAGGAAGAGATGATGTAACACACCAGAATTCAAAAACAATGTCTGTGTCAAAGTTTCATGTCATTTTATTAACATCTTACATTTGGTTATTATTTACGTTTTACGCTGCATCCTAGCTGTGCTGCTGAGATAACGTGGCAGTGATGAAGCAGCCAAAAGCAGCCAAAGCAGGTAGACTGGAGCAGCTTTAAGCTGATTTATTGGTGAAACTGAAGCTTGCTGTGGGGCAAATAGAAGCAGAGAGCAAGGCTGAGATCACAGACAAAAAAAAAAAAAAAGGTCTAAGCATAGTGTTGTAGACTGGTGTGTGTGTGTGTGTGTGTGTGTGTGTGTGTGTGTGTGTGTGTGTGTGTGTGTGTGTGTG